TGTACATTTACACATCCACCACTTGTCTTGTCAGTTTATTGTACTGTGGTGGCTTGTGTGTTGGCATGATGCTGGAAGCTATGCCACCAGTATTTCAAATACCAGCAGGGTCATCCATGGTGGACAGGTTTCAGCAGAGCTTTCAGATTAAGATAGACTAAGAAGGAAATGTTTGTCCCAATCTGAAAAATTGGCTACTGAAAACCTTATGAATAGCAGTGAAACATTATAGTGCTGGGAAATCTTATGAATAGCGCTAAAACATTGTCTGATGTAGTGCCGAAAGATGAGCCTGTCAGGTTGGAAGGAACTCATAATGACTGACTGGGGAAGAGCTGCCTCCTCAAGGGAGAGTTGACCTTAATGATATAGATAGAATAAAGCTTTAGGGACTTTCATTTGCTGATGTGGCATGACTCAAAATGAGAAAAAATGCTGAAAATGTCCATTAATAATTAGAATGTGGAATGTAATAAATATGAATCTAGGAAAATTGGAAGTTGTCAAAAATAAAATGGAACACGTAAAGATCTGTATCCTAGGCATTAGTGAGCTGAAATGGATTCGTTCTGGCCATTTTGAATCAGAAAATCACATGGTCTACTATTCCAGGAATGATAATATAAAGAGGAATGTTATGACATTCATCATCAAAAAGAACATTTCAAGATCTATACCAAAGCACAGTGCTGTCAGTGATAGGATAATATCCATACACCCACAAGAAGACTAGTTAATACTACTATTTTTCAAATTTATCCAGCAACCAGCAAAACATAAGATGAAGAAATTGAAGAGTTTTACCAACTTCTGCAGTCTGAAAATGACCAAACATGCAATCAAGATGCAGTGATATTTACTGGTGATTGGAATGTGAAAGTTGTAAACAAAAAAGCATTGGTAGTTGGAAAATATGGCCTTGGTGTTTGAAACAATTCCAGAGATTGCATGATAGAATTTTCTAAGACCAACAACTTACTCATTGCAAATACTTTTCTCCAATAACATAAATGAAGGGACCAGTCTCCAGAGAAGGATATAATGTTTGGTAAAGTAGAGGGTCACTGAAAAAAAGGGAAGACCCTCAATAAGATGGATTGACACTGTGGCTGCAACAATGGACTCAAGCATAGCAAAGATTATGTGCATGGTGCAGGACTGGGTGGTATTTTGTTTTGTTATGCATAGGATTGCTATAAGTCAGAGCTGACTTGTTGGGACCTAACAACAGCAACAACGTACACATGGACCTCCCCAGATGAAATGCACAAGAATCAAATCAACTACATCTGTAGAAAAAGATTATGAAGAAGCTCAGTATCATCAGTCAGAACAAGGGCAGGGCAGACTGCACAACAGACCATCAATTGATAATCCAATTAAAAAATCGGTAGAAGACATGAATAGACACTTCACCATAAAGGATATTCAGGTGTCCAACAAACATGAAGAAATACTCACAATCATCAGCCATTGTTGTTGTTATTTGCCGTTGAGTCGGACCTGACTCATAGCGACTCCTCCTTGGGTTTCCGAGGCAGTATCACTACAGATGTAGATTGCCTCATCTTCCTTCCAAGGAGTGGCTGGTGGGTTTGAACCATCAGCCTTCTGGTTAGCAGTCAAGTGCTTTAGCCACTATGCTACCAGAGCTCCCCATCAGCCATTGTTGTTGTTGTTGTTGTTATGTGCCGTTGAGTCGGCCCCGACTCATAGCGACCCCTCCTTGGGTTTCCAAGGCAGTATCACTACGGAAGTAGGATTGCCCAACCTTCCTTCCGAGGAGTGGCTGGTGGGTTTGAACCACCAGCCTTCTGGTTAGCAGTCAGGTGCTTTAGCCATTATGCTACCAGAGCTCCT